TACTATTTAAAGAGCTTGTAGCTTAAATCTGTTTAGAGATATAGGAATATTGTAAATTAGAAAAATCTTCAGTATGAGCCAAATTTTGTGATAGGAGAAAAAAATCACTCACATAATTGGCATATTATGACGACATCAGGTAGCAGCCATATTGGATTGCATCACATTTGCAGATTTTTGTTGTTTTGTTTTTGTCTTATTTTCTTATTGTTTGATACATATATACATATTCCTATGTAGACATATATAACTATGTACGGTATTTCTGCTGCTGTGGCTTATTAAATCCAACATTGCTGCAATTCTGCGACTTTGGCGCTTAAAGGGTTAAAGAGCAAGTCACCCCCAAAACAACTTTTGCCGAGTAACTATATAAAAGAGTGTCTAATCATGCTGTAGACACGTATAGTCAAGAATTTGGCTTTTAAGTACATCTTAAGTTTTAAATATTCTGCCTTAAACTGTCAGTGTTGTATCGTTGTCAGGTAAAACTCTGCACAACATTTGAATTTTAATCTGCCATCCTGGTTAGCTAAGAGGTACACTAAATTAGCTGGTACATTATGTCACAATGTGTGCCTGTGTGTATTTGGTAGAGGCTCTACCCTTTGTCTGCCTGGCAACAGCATTTGTTGCATTTTTCCAAACAGGAAGTGGGAGTGGAGTAAATCTCTGGTAGGGGGTGACCTGCCCTTTAAACTACCTAAGTGTTTCTAAGCCATTCTACCACAATGAAAAAGAATTTTAAACATCAAGTCACACAATGGTCAAATTGAAAAATTAGGATGTTTAAAGTTCTGCTTTATATATTCATGTAAATTAAAATAATGCAGAGTGTAAGTTTGTAAAGCCTTTTATTTAAAATAAAAGTAAAAATGAATAGCAAATGAGCACAGAGTAATGGGGGAATGCTGTGACAAGAAAAGTAAAAAAAAATATTAGATCCAAAAAATAAATCTAAAGTGTTCAAATTTTTTTTAATGAGAATATAGTTTCCAAAAATAATTATAATTTAAATACCTACAGCACCCAGCATGTGTCAACATAGACTAGAAGTTTCAAACACAACACCCTCAAAACTTAGCCAGTGGTGTCTCTAGTGTAGAGCAACTGAACCTGATGGGTCAAAAAAAAAAAAAAAAAAAATTTAAAATAAATAAAAAAAGTGAGTGAAATAAAATTTTTCACAACACTCTCCTCATCTTCACATTTGCTTGTTTCAGTTCATGACCTATACATTTCTGTGGACTTCTATTAAATTTCTTCATTTGTGCTCACATGTACCTTCATCACTGGACTTAAGCCATCCAACATCATGGCCCTGATGGAAAACTGTTGATTCCTGAGAGTCAGAGAAGAGCCTTTAGAGTCACCTTTGACACACGCCACGTTTGTACCTTCCATCATCTCTTTAAAAAGACTTTTATCACACATTCTCCCAAAATCCACAAGTCCCACGGCATACTCAGAAGAAATGTCTATATTATGAGGCACTTTGAAGAGGACGGCCATTTGTTCAGTGGTTTTCTGAGTGGATGTATCAAACAGGTCAAAGGTGACTACGCCAAAAAATCCTCGACCCGTAAAGGACTTCTTGAGAAAAACAGCACTTCCAGATGAGGATGGAAAGATTCTATGAGGAAATGTGTCAACACAGCATCCTCTGCAGACATACATCCTGGAAAAGAAAAAGGTTACTAAACCAAATACAAGTTAAATTCTTAAAAAGCTCTTAGAGGCTCCTTACCCAGGATTTGCAAGAACATAGTGATCTGAAAAATTTGTAACATGAATGCTGCACTGACGATGTGTTGAGAATTTACTCATGAGAACACCAGCTTGTAATGCTGTTTCTATGAGTTCAACTCCAGCGGTCAACCCGTCCAAAGCCTCCATTTCTGCTCAGACACAAAGAACAGTGATTTAAGCAGATATAAGAGTCAATCAAGCTGACCAGCAGATAATTAACTTTCCCTGCCTAGCATTTTATTACCTCCTTGTCATTTTCATATGAAACCCAATTTGACAATCCAATAAAACTGCACAAAAGTTGTTTCCTACCAAATCATAACTCCTTTTATTCAGAATATGGACTTGCTCCTTCCTGTGTTCTTACCTGAGATGAAGCTCTATGAGTGAATATCGTCACATGTCAGAATCCCTGACCTCCTGCTGCTATGACCTCCTTGTGACCTTCATCACAACAAGACTGTTTTTATACAAAGAGCTCACAGCTGCTCCAGGTCAGTTAGCAATTAATAGATTCAGGATGATTGTTAAAACCTGGTGATCAGAAGCACCTGAGAATGAAGGTAATGAGCTCACAGCTGATAGGTACAAGATAACCACTAGATGGCAAGAGACTAAAACAGAACAAATAAAAAATATT